CGTTCGGGAATGCTCAGGCTAAGTTCAAATTTGGTCATGATTCAATGAGTTTTGTCCCTTTCACTTTAGGGTATTACACATTCCACTTAAAGTTGACAAATGGATACGTCAAAGAAATAAGCAGGTCAAGTTTGAATTTTGTCATGGTTAGGTGAATTTTTTGGCAAAGTAATGCCCCTTTAACTTTGAAAAAAAAAATTTTCAGTTCCAATTCATTATCTCCCCAACAGTTGTACATATTTAACTCAAATTAAAAATATGGATATGTCATAAGAATTCATTGGTCAATCTTGAATTTGGTCATGGTTTGATGAAAGCTGACAGAGTTATACCCCTTGAATTTTGATAAAAAATAAGATATTTTAAGTTTCCGTTCATTATCTCACCAATGGTTGCACACATTCAACACAAATTTATCATATAGATACCTCTAAGGAATAAGCAGTTAAAGTTTGAATTTGGTCGTGGTTCAATGATTTTGGACAAAGTAATCCGTCTTGAATGTTGGAAAAAATTTGAATTTTCAGTTTCAGCACTCATACTTTTGTTGAAATGTATGTAGCCATTATTTTGGCTACAAATATGCAATTTACAAAAGGTTAACACTGAATAGTTTCAGTGCCTTGAACTTTGTTTAGAAATGGTTTGTATTAGCATTGAATAGTTTTAAGGGTTTTGAACTTAAAATGAAAAATATAATTTGTGCAAACAAATTTGGAACTAAATATTATAACATCTGAAATTTTGACTGCATGCGGGGGCATCCGTTGCGTGACGACATATTTCTAGTTTCTATTATCTTCTGCTTAAAAGTGTTTTGCAACATAAATGTGTTAATCATTGGACAATACTGGCGATGACACCGAGCACGATAAATATTGTAATTTCAACGAAATCATGTTAAAAGTGATAGTTTGCATACAATTTATTGGTGATATTTGGATGGATGAACCTTCCTGGTAATATACAAATATGTTTAAGACACAGCAAACGTCTTCATAACGAGTTACTTTCAGAAATGGAATATTTTAGCAGGTGCAGTGTTTTTTTTTCCTATGGGTTTTAGGATGAATTACCCAATTTGTTCTATATACTTTCATTAATCTTTCAAAAATAGTTAAACATGTAGTTGATGTAACGTATTTTACATTTTCTTTTACAATGTCTTAAGTGATTGAACTTCTTTATTCATATAAGCTTAATTGATATAAATAAATTTGTACCTCTTTACAATTGTAAATATTATGAGTTTTTAAGACAATGCAATTTAAATGTTTTGCATTATTAATATGAGTGAGTGGGGTAAGGACCTTGTGTCTCACACTTTATAGATAATACGAAAAGATCCCTTAATGTCTATTGCTGTTGTTTTTTATGAACAACAAATACAAGCTGATAAAAACAACTACCATTCTGTGACAGAAAACGACAAGACAATCGCAACAGATTAAACATATTTTGTTATATATTATATTAAGATATTTATCCCTGGACAGGTACTGGAATACTACCTGCCATTAGTCAAGTTTCCGATTTGATTTTACTACAATGTCAATGCATATATATTGATTTCAAAATACTAAAGAATACTTGTGTTGCAGTTCGTTTGATGTCAAGCTACATATACTAATAACTTAAGTGGCATCTTAGTACTGACTTAAATATGGCCTTTCCATTAATCTTCCCATTTAACTTCTAATTTTACAACTGCTCATATCTCAAAGGACATTCGTCAGGGAAGGAATTCGTTTGCACTTTCTAAAGGTATGTAGTTAAAAGATGTGCTGTACACCATTCCTTCACATCAATTTGCCACACGCAGCGTAGAATTTGTGTGAAAAAACTTCAATCCAAATTACAAAATAATTATACACCGTTTAACCGGAGAAAGTGGTGACAAATTACTGCAGTAATAAACAGGTCTTAAATTTACTGATTACTGCATGTAGGTTAAGAAGTTGGCTGGTACATTGGTATTTTGTAAATTTGCAGAGTTCTATAACTATGAGCATACTGTCAATTTACTGGAAAGACTATCAGAAAAAAATTGAAATTATAACTGAACGATGGTCGTATTATATAAATACACTTATTTTCACTTACTACCCGCCGTTTGTTATACCTTGGAGACTTTTGAACACAATTTATTGACATTCGGATGGCGAACAAGGAAACCAAAAGTAATCGCTAAAACACATGAGAAAAAAAAAAAAATCTTTATAATCAAAATTGATAAAATATCTTGCAGTGTGACTTTTGTTAAGTCCTTAGAATGACTGACACTTTGGCAACTTTTTTCATAAAATTTCACCACCTTAATCGGCTTTCAATTTCATTTTTTGATTGACTGAAACGTGTGCGTAAGAGCTAGTGATTACAGGATTGAGTTTTCATAATGTATAGAAAGTATTGGTGTAATGCATTCGTCGTTTGTATGTATTTAAAGATGGAAAAGTGATCAATTATATTTATCTAAGTTAGATATGTAACTTTTTCGAAACACATAACAAGTTGGTAGGAGCAGTCACATTACACGCAATGCTCAGGAACATGTGTTTGCGTTAGAACTGAAAATGTTCGGTTTTGTCGGATAAACGGTTTTGCACGGACAAACGGTTTTACAGTGATATGGTCTGTAACGAAAGTGTGATGTAACGTGAGCAAAACTCATGAATAAGTTATACAAAATATGGAATATTGATGTCGTTAGCAAATTCATGATACATGATCCATAATTACATATAAATTGTACAATTGGTCAGAAATTAAAATAAACCTGGAATATGTGACATGCTGTTTTACGCCAAGTGTATGTATGATTCAATGTTTGGGTCACGTCCAAATTTAGCACATAAACATGAAATCAACAATTGTAAAGGAATTTACCAGGAGTAGGCCATTTTGCACGATGAATAATTTCTTATTACGAATAGATATTTTTCTAAGTCACTTTTTTAGGAACGAACTGCAAATCATTTTTATGGTTTGGAAGTTAAATCGGCATTCGGTTCGTCAGGGGAACAAGTTCTTTAATTAAGCTTGCTTTCCACAAGCCGTCGAGACGTTATGAATATATTTTATGAATCGTGTGTTCTTTTAAAAACAATAATGCGCATAACATGTTCAGTGTTTTTAGCTCACCAGGGTTAGCTATTTGTATTAAAGGGGGATACTCCGGCGTTCGTCGTCCGTCGTCATGCGTCAACAATCGTCTTCTTCTATGAAACCGCTGGGCAGATTTACTTCAAATTTAGTCTGTAGCATCCTTGTGACAGTCACACTTGAATTTGCTCGTGTCATTTCAATTGGTTTCCTTTAGGGGTCAACAGAGCTTAAAATAGAAAAACATTAAAACATCTTCTACTACAGAACTAAGTGATAGATAATCACCTAACTTTGTTTGTAGAATTCTTTGGTAGTCCTTTATCAAATTTGCTCATATTAATTTGATTGGCCCCTTTGAGGGGTCTCTAGGGCTTAACATAGAAAAACCTTTATATATCTTCTTCTATAGAACTAATGGATGGATGATCACCAAACTTTGTTTGTACCATTCTTGGGTAGTCTTTTATCAAGTTTGCTGATATTAATTTGATTGGCCCCTTTTAGGGGCCGCTAAAGCTAAAAATAGAAATACATTTAAACATCTATATCTAGAGAACTAATTGATGGATGATCACCAAACTTTGTCTGTAACATTCTTAGGTAGTCTCTTGTCAAATTTGCTCATATTAATTTGATTGGCCCCTTTTAGGGGTCTCTAGGGCTAAAAGTAGAAATCCCTTAAAAATATCTTCTTCTACAGAACTAATCGATGGATGATCACCAAACTTTGTCTGTAGCATTATTGTGACAGTCACGCTTGAACTGCTCATGACATTTCAGTTGGCCCTTTTTAGGGGTCAACAGAGCTAAAAATAGAAAAACCTTTAAACATCTTCTACTACAGAACCAATTGGTGGATAATCACCAAACTTTGTCTGTAGCATTCTTAGGTAGTCTTTTATCAAGTTTGCTTATATCAATTCGATTGGCCCCTTTTAGGGGCCGCTAAAGCTAAAAATTTAAATACTTTTAAACATCTATATCTAGAAAACTAATTGATGGATGATCATCAAACTTAGTCTGTAGCATTCTTGGGTAGTCTTTTATCACATTTGCTCATATTAATTTGATTGGCCCCTTTTAGGGGTCTCTAGGGCTAAAAATAGAAAAACCTTTAGACATTTTTTCTACATAATTAATGGATGAATGATCACAAAACTTTGTCTGTAGCATTCTTGCGTAGTCTTTTATCAAGTTTGCTCATATTAATTTGATTGGCCACTTTTAGAGGCCACTTAAGCAAAAAATAGAAAAACCTTTGAACATTTCTTACTGAAATAATTTATTGATGGTCACCAAACTTTGTAGCATTATTAGGTTCTCTTTTTGTCAAGTTTGCTCATATTAATTTGATTGGCGCCGCTTAAGCTAAAGCTAAATGCCCCCCGGCAAGGCATTTTTTCAAAGTAATGTTTTAACATATTCTATGCTCAAATTAAATATCAGAAAATATTGACAATTGATAATTTCCAACTCTGAAAAGCAGTTGTTTCTGGTGAGCGACTCAGGGCCATCATGACCCTCTTGTTTTGCTTTCTATTGTAATTTTAACTTTCCTAGATGTAATGTTACTAATTTAACATGAAATATGATTTTATTTTCATTCGTGCTGGTGATTGAAACAATCTCCGTAGCTTTCAAATAAATAGTGTTTATTTTAGAATCCAACTTTCACATGGCGATTGTTTTACTGAAGATGTCATCGACTTATGCATTGATAATTTGGCAACTCACATATCAAATACAATGTACATTTATTAATTTTTTTGCTAGTAATTGTCACATTAGATATTTAATGAATGGTATATATTTTATTAATGTAAACTTAGCACATCATTTAGTGGATAAAGTTTAGGCTTTGTTTTAATATTTATTTATTTTTATTGCTTTTGTAGATTTAGGACAACCTTTTATGCCTGAAACATATCAAATTAGAATGAAAGCTTATGTACAAGAAGAACGCTTACAAAAAGATAAAAAAGGTGGGTTATTAACTTTGCTTTTATTTACAGAAGAAAAAAGTGTAATTTTACAAAATATTAAAGGACGTGCTCAAATGTGTTTCGTCGTTTCCTGATAATTGTTTATTAAATCAATACAGATCAGTCCCAATATATCACCATATGTCTCAATATCTGAACGTTTTTGTGCCTTAATGTTCCCTTGCAATATTATCAGCGTTTTAAATTATTTAAAACGAAACAAATGATAAAAAACTAATCTGAAAGCAAAACTGAAACATTCATGTCAATTTATATGACTGCAACACAGGGAAGAACAGAGAGAATATTGCCGTTATTTTCTGATGCTGCATAGGGATATGCCCTCGGTAATAATTTTGTAGATTTTGATAGTTTGAAATTATTTAGCAGCTCCACCATACATCAGTTTGAATAATAATTATAAACCTTAGCTTTTGGGTAGGCATCATTGTGGTTGGTCTTATGAACTTGTAGAGATATTGCAACTTGGAAATTCAAAGCAATATCACAATGCAACTGTCTTTGTCATGTTTTATAACTGTGATAGTAAGTTGAACATAATTATTTATATTTTCAATATAGAAAACATCCAAAAAATTTACCATATTGGCTATTTTAGTTTTATTGTAAATCAATTGTCTTCATACTCGAAAACTTCAATCCTATGGAATGTTCTTCATATTTACTAGCCTGATCTTTGGTCATAAATGACCATTACCTTATCGGTCCGATTATTAAATTTTGTTACCAATTTTTGCTGGTCCATGCATATATATTGATTACAAAATACAAAAGAATACTTGTGTTGCAATTTATATGATGTCAAGCTACATATACTCATAACTTAAGTGACCTCTTAGTACGCCCGTTATGGTATTTCCGTACCATTTACCTTCCAATTTAACTTGTAATTTTACAACTGCTCAGATCTAAAAAGACATTCTTCAGGTAAGATGTTGGTTCGCACTTTCTTACGGTATGTATTTGATAAATGTGTTGTACACCATTCCTTCACAGCAATTTACCAAAAGCGTAGAACCTCGTTTGTTGAATTTATGTGAAAATACTTAAATCCCAATAACAAAATAATTTCACACCGTTTAACCCGGAGAAAGTGGTGACAAATTACTACGGTAATAACATATATCTAACCTTATTCTGATTACTGCAAGTAGGTTAAGAAGTTGGCTGGTACATTGATATTCCGTAAACTTGGAGAGTTCTTTAACTATGAACATATTGTTAATTGACTATCAGATAAAATGTTTGAATTTATAACTGGAGGATGCTTGTGTTATATAAATACACTTAATTGCCCTTATTATCCGGCGTTTGTTATACCTTGGATACTTTTGAACACAACATTCGGACAGCGAACAAGGAAACCACTGTTATCGCCAAAAATAAATATGAAATTGACAAAAGATAAAATATAAAAATCAAAATTGATAAAATATCAAATGATGTGACTTATGTTATGTCCTTAGAACAACTGACACTTTTGCAACTCTTTTCATAGAACTTCAACACCTTAATGGGCTTCCAGTTTAAATTTTTGATTGACGTGTGCGTACATGTAAGAGCTAATGATTACACAATTTTTCATAATGCAAAGCAAGTCTTGGTAAAATGCATCATACGTATGTATTTAAAATTGGAAAATGTGATCCATTATATGTATTTAACTTAAATATGTAACTTTTCGAAACACATAACAATTGCTAGGAGCAGTCACTTTACACACAAGTGCTCAGAAACATGTGTTCGCGTTAGAACTTAAAATGTTCGGTTTTGTCGTGTTTGCACGGACAGACGGTTTTGCAGTGGAATGGTCTGTAATGGAAGTGTCTCACATAACAACAAATCACGAATAAATTATACAAAGTATGGGTGTTGTTAGCCATTGTGTGATACATGATCCATAATTAGATATTTATTGTATTCATATAGCATAATAAAATGTTCTAGAACAAAATATTATTCATGATCATATAAATGTTCTGTCTAAATCGTTCGAGTAATATCTTATAGGAATATTCAAATGGCACAATTATATTGTTTTGTCAGTATTAGAAATAATGTGGAATTTTTGCCAATGATTGTAAGCAATCTACTTAAAATGGACATAAACGGGCCAAAAATTAATATAAACCTGGAATATGTGTCATGCTATTTTACGCCAAGTGTATGATTCAATGTTTGGGTCACGTCCAAATTTAGCACATGCACATGCAATTAAAATTTGTTAAGGAATCTACAAAGAGTAGGCCATTTTGCACGAAGAACAATTTTAATTGATTTGTAACATTTTAGATGCTTTTCACCTGCAAAATAATGCTGAATGTGAGAATTATATCAAATGAAATGGCAAAAAATAAAAAAATGGTTATTTGACTTCAGTACAAAATACTATTAATTTTATTTTATTTAAAAATCAATAGCATTTGAAAAAGAAATTCGACTTAAAGGGATATTCAGGCAAATTAATGACAAAAATATCAATATTTTGTTATGTACTCAAATCACGCTTAAATGACATTTGTGAAAGTCCCAGCATGAATTTTTGTTTAAATTTTACATTTTTGGGGGTTGAAGCGTAAACATATTTATATATTTCGAACGAAATGTAGCCACCGACAGAATGATCGAGTAGTTTTAAAACTAGTCATGTGACTTGAACAAACCCTGTTAGTTACAATATCAGATCATTCATTTGACGTATTTTTTTAAAATGTGAAATTTTAATGCTCTCACCTGACCCACGTGGGTTTAGTTAGGGAACCACCATTTTATTCTTTATAAGTAAAAAAGTTTTGTTCCTGTGACTGCCTTGTGTATTCATTTAAAGGACATTTACAGATTAATGAAGGAAAATTCAAAATGAAGCAATAAATATTTTGTCTGTGTCTCCCTTTAAGTACCCTATAAACAATGAAAGACTGATAGAAGAAAGCAACAATATTTACATTTTTGCAAAATTTCCGAATTTATATAAATGCAACATCGGGAAGAACATAAAGACGGAAAATTGTCGGTCTTTTCTGATGCAGCATAGTGATGTGCCCTCAGGAAAGAGTTTGTAGAATTCGACAAGTTAGGATTATTTAGTGCCTCCTTCATAAATCAGTTTCAATAATAATAATAAAACATAGCTTGTGGAGAGGCTATATAGGAATCACATTGGCATATGGCTCCTGACAGGATCAAAAAGGTAACTTTGGCAAGCTACTTTCGGGCAACGCCGCCGCCGTTCCCGGGGTAAAGGTTAAGAAGTCGGAAGTCCTTTTTTCGTCAAGATTTTTTCTATCCCTCAAACAAATATACATTCGGGCGTGTACTGTCTTGTTAAGCAATAAAATAGTATTTTTTTGTACCAATAGTTTTACCTTTGCAGATGTCATTTATTTGGAAATCGTTTTACACTTTCATATACCAGTGATTTTGATATATATTAGCATATCATTTAGATTATAATGTTATAAAACATAGATGTACAATTTACTAAAACACTTAAATATTCCTTTCTCTTTCATATTGTATGAACATGCTTAAGAGAAACATTCATCTTTCAACTACTTGACGCATGTAACAGTTTTAAAAATTATTTGTTATAATAAACACAATTCTATTGTCTGTAGTATCTCTGAGAGTAACTTGATTAAATGTTTACTATTTCAGAATTATGTCAAATGTGATGGAGGGAGTTTGAAAAAAAACACAATTTGTTTTGTCTTCTTTTTTTTTTTTGGGGGGGGGTGGGGAGGTAGAGACTAAATATTATCAGTCACAAGACATACAGGGTCAATGAATCTTTGCTGAGCATAAGAGTGAATTATCTTTAAATGAGCTAGCTAAATAGATTCATTGCTAACAAGAATTAACAGTGTAGAATAGATGTCAAACCAAAACGTCTTACGTGATTTGAATTGGAAATATTGACCACTCTGCCACAGAGGCCTTTAGATTTTCAAGTTATTGCGAAAACTTAAACTTGTTTTCCCGTATGTTTCAGAATATGGTTCTGAAGATAAGTATGATAACGAATCATCTGATGATGACGGTAAATTCGTGTTGGCTGATATATTTCCAACGGATACCACATCATTTTTTCGAACAAAAGATTCACCGAGTATGAAAAAAGGTTTGATATAACCTTTGCATCAAATACTTTAACACAGTTGAGAAATATCAATTTCTAACAATTATGCCCCAACAATAACGAATGTTGTGAGAGTATGTATACTGGTTTATGGCTGTCCGTCAGTCTGGCGTTGAATCATGATCACACTCTTTGTAATATTACCACGCTTTTTAGAATTTCGCGGTTTACTTACATAATTATAACATTATAACATGGTTTTGGGAAGCACAGGTACGTTCAGATATTTAGTTAAAAATATATATTAAGTGTATGACCTTGTTAGTAAAAACTAGGTTTAAAAGACGTCAAAAAGATGATAATTACATTTAAGATTTTCATGCGCAATACATAAGGAGATAGATTTTTTAAAGAAAAGGTTTTGGTGGAGAGACTGGGAGTATTTACTCTTTCAAGGGATATTGATAAAATAAAATCAGTAGTTACTCGGAAATGATATACTATCTCTTCAAATTAATTGATCTATTATACCCTCTGTGAAGTCCATGAGTGATGGAATATAGGTGTTGTGGTAAGAACTGTGTTGAATACGCCATATACAGTAGGCATAATATCTAATCTTTGAACTCACATCAGTGTGGATTACATTTGTCGATAAGATACCCGACCCTAGAAATATAACTACACATCAGACTTCAGGATAAAGAATCCACCACAAAAATGATTCAAACATGATAATCAAAACCTTCGGATAAGGATTCTGAACACCGACCTCATTCTTCGCCTGCTATATGATTCTGTTCATTTAAACATATATATTATAACTACTGTTATAATTGTGTACAGACACGGATTTTTATATAGGAGGTCGCAAAAGTTTGGCAACAAATTAAGTAAAATGCTTATAGAAGAAGGTTAAATTCATTTTACTTCTTTTCAAAAGAGTCATGAGTAATTGTTTGTTTGATTTTCACTAAAATGCAAGTATTTTATCTAGTAATATTATATTCTATACACGATTTGAAATAAATCAGCTTAAACGAGGGATAGGGGTTGATGTCATGACACTCTTATATAGTTTTGAACTAGCAATAGTGAGATACCTTTATGTAGATAGCTCTGTCGGAGCAGTTCCCAAATAAACACTACTGCCAGCTTTTAAGAATTGATAAATATATGTTAAGCCAGTTTTCAGTTTACGGTGCATTATGTTTAACTTTAGGCTTGAAATGACCTTGACCTTTTTGAAAAGTTTTGACATTTACTAAAATTACTCTTATAGTATTACATATGTTATAGCCACAACATTTACATAACAAAACTTAAAAAAAAAACACATTTAAATAGTTTTAAACCCAGCGTTCACATGTCATTAGCGTACGCATTGACACTTTTGCAACTAACACATCAAATATAATTAATCAATGTCTTTATGAGAAGTAATTATTTTTAATATATGTTAACTTAGCACATGTTTAAGTAGATAAAATGTAGGTATGTTTTTAGATATAAATGACTATTTCGATATTAATTTAATGTTGTTTTTGCATTTGTAGGTTTAGGGAAGCCTTTTATGTCTGAACCATATCAAGCAGGAGTTACAGAAAATGTACAAAAAGAACGCTTACAAACATATGAAAAAGGTTAGTTATCAACTTTCCTTTAGTTTACCTACGGGCATAGTGCTATTTTACAAAACATTAAATGATATAAGTGTGTTTAGTCGGTATCTGATAATTTTAAATTGAATCAATATATATTTACTCTATTGTATCAACATACTCCTCAATATTTGAACGTTTCTATGCATTTACGTTTCTGGTATAAAAATATTTAAAACGAAACAGAAAAAAATACACCAATTTGAAAGCAAAGCTAAAACGCTACGTTCTCTTGTTCAAGCAAGTCAAAGATAAGTTAAACCTAAAAAGTGAATAAATATTTCTTTCTTGAAAAAGGGCAAACTGGTGCCTTTTAATTATTTTGAACATGTGTGATGCGATTTGCCTGTAACATATATTGCTGAATTTGAAAATGATATCTAATAAGGTAGCAAATTTAAAAACAAGACTTAGAGCGATCAGTGATCATATGTGTCGCCTCATGATGGCCAATGTTATGTTGGGATAGGTTTTGTGACAGACGGACAGACAGACGGACAGTACACAACTAGACTTGGTACTTATCATTCCTGTAAAGTTTTGATAAAATTGCACCAGGTTTTACGAGGAGTAGTCCGGATAAGCTTTTGTGTATCCGGCAACACACAGAAAAAAACACCTTTTTATCAAAGGGCCATAACTCAGCCAAAAATCATTCATACGGAAAACCCGTGCAATATGCCGAAGGACATGAGCTACATATTAATCCTGTAAAGTTTCATTGAAATTACATAAGTGGAATGAGAGAAGTAGTCCGGACAAACTTTAAAGATAAAAATTATTAAAGGGCCATAACTCTGACAAAAATCATTGAACCGAAAAATGCTGACAATATGCACAAGACTTTGTACTGATCATTCATGTCAAGTTTGGATGAAATTGCACCAGTAAATTATGAGGAGCAGTCCGGACAAGCTTTTGTGTGTCTGGAAACACACAGAAAAAAACACATTTTTATCAAAGGGCCATAACTCGGCCAAGAATCATCCAACCGGGAAATGCTGACAATATGCACAACTAGACTTGGTACTGATCATTCCTGTAAAGTTTTGTGACGGAATGACAGACGGACAGACATACAGACGACGGAGTAGTGATCCCTTTATGTCGCCACTACTCCGTAAGAGAAGTAGTCCAGACAAACTTTAAAAATAAAGATTATCAAAGGGCCATAACTCTGACAAAAATCATTGAACCGGAAAATGCTGACAATATGCACAACTAGACTTGGTACTGATCATTCCTGTAAAGTTTTGTGACGGAATGACAGACGAACAGACAGACGGACAGACAGACAGACGACGGAGTAGTGATCCCATTATATTGCCACTACTCCGTAGAGGCCAAAAAATGGTTATTTGAATTCAGTCCTCTCCTGTCCCATCCTGTCCTGTCCCATCTCAAGAACTTGAAGATACAAAGCAATGTCTCAATGCCACTGTCTTTGTCATGTTTCATAACTCTGATAGTTATTTTGTCATGATTATGCATTATAATTAGACATATTATATTTTTTTGACTTAGAAAATATCCCAAAATTTACCAAATTGGCTATGGTTTTATTGTTAATCAATGAATTGTCTTCATATTCTGATACTTAAATTCCTTTCAAATGGGAATGTTTCTTCATGTTGACTTCACAGACCTTGAAATTTGGTCATAAATGACCATTACCTTGATCGTCAGATTATTGAAATGTGTTGTTGTAATTTATTAATTGAATGTCATTAAATTTAGACACAACTTTTTTGAGGACTAGCCCTCTATATAAATAAACTTTTTTGACCTTGACCTTCAAGATATTAAAGCAGCATGCATCCAGATTCAAGCTTATTTAATGAAAAAATTTAAAAATGTAATTAGCAGTAAAATATTGTGAAATGAACAAAGATAGTAATTTACACATTTTAAACGGCTCCTACACCAAACGTCAATTACCAAAAAGAGGTCAAAATATGCATTAATACTTCCTACTGCGTTAGTAACGCAGTATAATTATTGTGATTGATACTATAAAATCAGCCATAAGTCGCACATAACATTTTAATAATTAATAAAATATTGAATCTTTTCACTTTTCTTAAGATATTGATACATTTTTCTAAAGATTGAATTTATTGATAAATATTATTTGCTCATCTGGAGGCGTGCAGCTTTAACACTTTCATTGACATATTGATCACTCTAATAGGTAGATTGATTTTGAATTAATTAAGTCCCGGTTATTCTAATCGGCTTCATAAGACTATTTTTTTATATATCCCCTCTCCTTTTTTACCAAAATATAGGTCATCAGATGATTATACTATTTTCATCAAAGCATTTATTAATAATTGTAATTATTATATAAACAATGATCATATATAAAGTTAAAATTTGGCTAAGACCACTTATTTTCAAAATAGTTAGGTATGAATCACTTTTAGTGATAGTCGTTGTTATCTACATTTACAATCCACTTACTATGTATCTTCATGTCTTTGAATTATTATACTCGGAATGTTTCTTTTATATTCAGGTTCATGGCGTCAATGCTTTAGACACTCGAGGAATTTCGAAAATGATGCAAAAAGGTTGCTTTTGGAAGGAACTTTGCCGGATCATAGCTTGTTTCAAAACATCTCTAAAGAATACGGTCGAAAGTCTCAAATTGTTCAAATCATTGGCAATGGTATATGTCAAAACATTAAAGAGCAGTCAAATAATATTGTCCATGTTTGGCCAGCTTATCGGCATACACACGGTATGGATTGCAGTGAGGATAAAATTGTTTTTGTTGTTATTACAAACAAGCAGACAAATATTAAGTCAGATTATGAAATTTGTAAAAGACATCTTAATGAAATTTCCTCGTTGAGCAAAAACGAAAATAAACGTATACATGACAAGGAAAAGTTATATGATTTGAGGAGAGACGATTTAGCATTATATTTAAAATCAAAAGCCAAACAATTGATGGAAAACCATAAAAACCTTACATGGATAACCGTGAGTGTAATAAAATCTAGTGGACATGATTTGGACGATCACAGGATGGTACAATTACCTTGTATAGCTCTTTACGTTCAAATCAAAGGACTTATTCCAATCGATGAAGATCCATTTGAACAGTTTCTTGATAGTTACCCTGTTGATGTCCGAGAAGGTGTTTTTTCGCTCTATGGGTTACCCACTGATTTGCATCAAAATGTAAGAATAGGTTGCGCATTAGACAGTGGGTTTGGAACGAAGCAAGGAACAGTAGGCCCGTTTTTCAAATATGAGACTGATTTGCATACGTACCTCTTAACCAGTGCTCATGTTCTACTCGACCCAGAACAGATGAAGAAACTAATCGTAGACACCAATGTGTACTATGGAATACATGGAACTGATGCTTACCAGCCACCTGAAAGTATATCAGTCGAACATAACTCTCGCCATCATCTTGGTAAAATAGAGTTTGCTGTTTATAGGACAGGTGAGCAGTACAAACCTGGAATGGAAGTTGCACTTGTTCGAATCGACAAACAACGAGTTCCAATAGACGGGAAATTCCCTAGTACGTAAAAGCTGTCAGTCAAATTGAACATGTACATGCACTTTAAGTTTTATATTATAAAAAAGGAAAATCAAAATTAATGGCATTTGGAATTCGATGTATAATGAAACTCCATTCTGTATATCTGACCTAATAGTTATGCATGAGAGTATTTATCAAAACTGTAAATAACTACTATTTTGTTTTTGCCTTTCAGCAAATGAAACCATAGATGGTCATATATTATCTTTGGACGATATTGACATCTATTCAAAACAATTAAATGGCCAAGATGTTTACAAATACGGGTCAAATACTGGATTAACTAAAGGAAAAGTTCGATTTAATGGCGGTTCCGTGCGTACTGGTGTATTAAAGGATCACTTTCTTGGAATGGACTTGACACTGAATGAACAAATCGAGATAGAATCTGCTGATGGTGGTCCATTTGGTAAGCCAGGAGATTCAGGGGCACTTGTCTTTACAAAAAGCGGAGACAGATTGTTCGTAATTGGTATAGTTGAAGGGGGAATTGGCAATACCTGTATGGTTACACCAATTCGTGATATAATTGACGTATTAAGTCAGTTCATTTCACTCCACAGGGATCCACCCACTGATACCTGTATGGACTTTGAAGAACTGACTTCCAATATAACTTTAAAGTTATATTATGTTCGTTCCAACAATACACTTCAATCCGCCGGAATTAATCGTCGTATTTCCGCAGAGATTAGGAGACACACAGCTGAAGTACAAGCAAATACTGAACACAAGTTTGAGTCCGTTAAATCAGAATTAACAGCAATTAAGGTGCATTTTGACACTAAAATAGATAAAATAGAAAACTCAAATCGAGAAATCATAGAAAGTTTAAAAGCACTTTCACAGACTGTTAAAAATAGCTATAACGCGTCTGCGCCCAATACGGAAAAATAATATTTTGACAAAATTCTTACTGTCCGATATTAAGAAAATATTTTAGCCAGTTGTATATCCGTGACATCACATTTCCAATGTTATTTCTGTTATTGAGTTGCATTATTTTCAGTTTTCATTTTAATAACCTTTCACTAACAGTTTAAGTAAAATGCATATGTCTATATTTCTAGCGGTATTGATGACTTCATTTTTTTTGACAAATACAACATTTTAATATTATATTGACTAACTAGTTTATACATTACTGCATATTCATCCCCTAACTATCTCCCATTTTGACACTTTAATATGTGAATACATATATATTTTGATGGAAATCTTTTGAAACTTGGTATGCGCAAGACTGTTTTTATGAGATCCGGTTTACGATTGCCTATTTTAATTTACTTCAATTAACAGCCAGTACGTGCATTGCTCTTATGCCCTCTCTCAGGGCTTTTGTACAACTGATAACAAAGCGCTCAATGTGTGCTTTTGAGATCATCGTCTGTCAGTTCGTCAGTTGTAGACTTTTTCATTTGACTTCTCCTTTGAAACCGGTTGGTCAAATGTGGTAAAATTTATCTGGGATGTTCCTAGCATAAGGTTCTACAAAAAATGTGCAAATGGTTCTTCTTCATCAATGAGTTAAATATTTAATATGTAAACTAGACGGGATACATATAGACGGTGGTCCGGTGTTGTGTAGATGTGTTTTGACGATGCGTTCATTGAATGTCACCCTTCTTTGTTGATCTTTGTTTTCCTAGTAAATAGCTTCGTAATATCTAGGGTCATGGTACTTTTTTCAGCTGATTGTTACACACTTATCTGACCATGATATTATGATTTATTATTTTAGGACAGACAGAATGAATTGAATTGTTTTTTGGTTCAACACTTTTAAAATTGTACATGCTGTTCTCTTTTCGTTGTAATTGATGGGCCTAGTAAGAGACTATGATAGGCAGTTTTTTAAATTATTTGAAACTGAATTGCCTTATTTTTCGTTCTATGCCTATCTCTAATTGATGAATTTCGCGCTGCTTAGCCTTTCTGTCAGACATTTAGAGAAAGGAAATACTGTAGAAGGCATATCAAGATACGAGGATCAAGATACATAAACAAAAAACTAAACAACTCCCCTTCCTTACAAGAACTCCTTTGAGATATGGAAGAATGTCACAATGGAATGTAACTGTAATAAACCCATATTGCATGAATGTTTGAGCAAAATGTGAGTTTGTTAAAATTCCTTTTATGCATTTATTTTACTGTGAGAAAAAAATATTCAAACGCAATTTTAATACATTTGAAGCCGAAAATTGTCGTAATTATTTTTAATCTCCGTTACACAAATGGGGTTTGGCTACACTGAGTGGGACATTGGCATTCACAAACTTCATTTATTTTTTTATATTTGATTTGTTGTGTTATCATGTTATGAAGAAATATAGTGCACAAACTATTTTATGATCAAATATCATGATGTTTAGGTTTGACGTTATTCTTATTATCAAGAAAGTATATGTATATGATGGGTCCTATCATTAAGGTAACTATGTCTTAGTTTCAGAAGACCGTAGAACTTTTTCATACAACAACATGTATCTGAACTTCTGTAAGCATCCAAGATTGATACAGTCAAAAGAAAACGATTGCGTTGGTAAATAATCTTTTATGTGTGTCTTGTTCATCTTTGCAGTAATATGTAATTAAAACTCTACAAGAAAAGAAAGTTTTGATATTCTTTCCTTTAACGCTAGATATATATTGAATAATGTTATTATCATTTTATACAAAAACCTGTATTGTTATAAGTTACATTCTGGCACTATTATTATTATTATTATTATTATTATTAAAAGATGAGAAAAACACTTAAAACGTCTATTTTCAACAGTTTTATGAGCATATGAACATATTTCCTATGTTCTTTAGCCATATTTAAACAGTTAAGGCGGTGACATTTACAACATCGCGGAGAGAATGATTATGTTACTACAATGGACTATAGAAATAAAGAACAATATAATCATGTATGTAACCAATAGCAGCATAAATCTGAGGTTGAACGTATGGAAGAAATGTTATCATTTCAAACAAGTCATTTACACAAGACGAAACACAGTTGAAATATACCAACTTTTGAAAACAAACAATAGTACGTATAAGTTGGTTTGTAATCTTTTACATATTATTCTTATTCATTTTAATTATCATCCAAAACAGGCAACACGGAAATATGCATTCAGCGGATAGTGTTCAGTCCACTAATGATATTTTTACAACAATGATGCTATCAGATATCCCCGTAGAGACACTCTTCAAAATCCAATATAATTTCAATGACAGTTCTTTTCCCTAATATATGCACAAAAAAATATGAAAATTGCTAAAAAAATATTGTAGATATAGATATTTAAGCAAGACGGGCATATATATTACGGGTTAATGAGCAGAGTTGGATAGGATGTTATTACGGATAGGCAGTAAGCTGATTTCATATTGATCTGTGATATATCAATGATCACTATAATAAAATAATTATCTTTATAATGATTTTATTCATATTTCAAAAATTTAAAATCATCTTTTGGAGATGTAGAGAGGTCTTGGTTGGGTTAATGGTTCCTGACCTGGCTACGCACCTGTATAAAAAAATGTGATGAACAATCAACGAGCTTTTATTGTTACTTGATTTCTAAATTGTGAAGATAATGATCAGCAAGGTAGACACAGTTCATGAAACGCAGCCCTTACAATAAGCACAGAACATCAAAATGACATTCAAATAGAAGGTTAAATAGAATAAACGTTTAACGTTGTTTTTTGTTTTGTTTTTTTTTTCTTTTCTTATTTCAAAACAAAATAGTTTTTCGTCTTAAAACAGACTTTTTCTAAACAGTGAGTGTCTCTTCAGACAAAGCCCCGAAGTTCCTTTACCAAATGGTTGCTAGTTTCTTGTTTAAGTGACTTGTTTTTCAATAATCATGATGCAGGAGATTCCGATTGTTTGGAATAGGTCATGTTATTTATTGGAGCTCGCGGTTTACATATTGTTACATGTAAATGTGCAGAAGTTCTTATGACGTTTTTACTGAATTTCATAACGCCGTTGTTTGACCAATCATCAGTAATAGCGCTCCTATTTTAGGGTACTACAATGTAGAACATTTTCCTGTATCAACGTAGTACATAACCGCGCAATGAGATATGTCTTGAGTGTTGGACAATATAAATAACATAGATTGGTAAAAAATGGCCTGGACCCTTCTATTGTCCGACAGCTTAAAACAGTTGCTATCTTTTTGACACGTATTTGTAATACTACACCATCTAGACTTAAGACGAGACTAGTATTTGGTCAGACAGCCATGCCTGAGGTTCATGTTATAACTTGTTTTTTATTGTAAAACAAAAGTTACCTCAATGTAATATAACAAATATTTCTCTTGAAAGTCATATTTCTAGAAATACTTATTTAATCAACAGCACGATCCGTGTGTATTATATATACAATATATACAAGATACGAATTTTAAATTTAAATTTATTTTCATTATTATCTGTTATAAAATGTTTTTTAAATAATGGGTGTCTGTCTTAGTTTTGAGTTTTTGACTGTGTTAATTGTGTTAGTTTTACTTTGTAAATGATGACTTGATGTAAATGATGAAATGATGCACTGAAGAAAGTATTATATTTAAATTGATAGTCATTGATCAAATGAATTGTACAAATTTTCAGTATGTGTGTTAAGATATGTTATATCTCTGATTTCCATTTTATCATTTCTTTTACATGTTATATTTAAAATTTCTTCGATTGATATGTTAGTTTCTTTTTTTCTGTTTCTTTATGACCGTAATTTATTCCTCTTCATGACCGTAAGTGCCCGTGTTGTGATTCTGTCGAAGATGTTTATCAATAAATTGTAATGTATATGAGGATACGTGTACCCTTAAACATACAGCAGTCTCAAAACTCTTTAAAGATATCAGATTTAGAAAAAAAATGTTTATACTTTTAGATAATTAAATGATAAATAGTTGTGTCGTCAAACCATGTTATATTATCTTTAAAGAGAAGATTTTTTGATTTATGTACATGATTAAATTTATTTATATTTTATATTAACTTTGTTCGTTTTATTTACCAAATATCCGCTTATCAGTTAACCTACCTACTGGGGGTGTTAAACTGTTCAAAGGATTTGTAGTAACACATCTGTTCATTTTTATGTCAGTTTATTTAATATTTCATCATAGTTCAACTGAGTGATAAACTGTTAATCATTATCTTTAATATGTCTAAACTACTAATGTGATATATAATATTATATATCAATTCATATTTAACCCTAATATCTTGTAGATTTGTATAGAATGGTCATATACTTTTAAAATTTGCCTTGTGAAAATGTACATAAATGTTGTGCGTGTATATGGATGAGACTTATACTTATATATTTATGGCGCCGAAACAGGAAAGATGATTTTAGCTAACATCCGGTGTTACACCAACACAAGAATCAAAACCTCCTCACTTACTGGTCCAGTTATTCACCGCTTATGATCACGCAGGGAAAAACTGTATCGGTAAATTTTATTCCTCAAATATTAAAGGCAACGCCATACTTAAAATAATAACCTTTGAAAATGCATGTAGTAGTATTTTATTCCTCTACAGAAGAATGGTCTCAATGTTTTGTCAAATGGGAAAACGTTGTCTCTGAAAGCGTTCATGTATCTCGATAACAATAGATGTCTTCAGTTGTAATACGATTTCATTCCATTTATTTTAAGCTTTAGTAGACTTTAATATTATCTATTCTAAATCATGGACTTTACCGTAAAAAAGTATTTCCAGAGAGCTTTGATAAGAGTTTTAACAAGTTTCTCTCTGTTAAGATTACTAAGTCAATTACTTACCAGCATATATATACAGTATGAAGTGTTGCTTTTAATTTAAACACGTCTGTACTTAAGTATTGTTGGGCATTATTTTAATCCAGTTCTAAAGACAATTTTAAGAAAACATTTGTCCGACATTAGCATGTTTACAGTGGAAAAGGGGCAGAGAAATATTAAATAAATAATGATGTTTTATTTACAATTATTCATCAGAGTATTTAATATTTATTTACCGAGTCGAATGATCCATACGACATAGCCCATAGCAATTGTTACAAAAATATTTGTTATAAAAGCATTGATATTTTGAAACAAATTTGTTCATTATGCCTATATAAGTGTATAAATTAGTGAAAGGGTGAAAGTCAAAATAAGTTTTCAATTTGCCATAATCCCCTTTAATAAAAACAATAATTTCATACGTATGAATCCAAACGTTTTTTCGTAAATATCTATTAATTTATAGTTTAATTCTTTTAAGAGGCCGATAAGGAAAACCGTTTGCAAGAGAAACGTATGTGTCTGCTATCCGTGCAAACAGATAAACGAAGATGTGAATATTTTATGCTACATAACAGAAAGATACAGAGTAAAATCAACAAAGAGACAAATTAACATAACTGAATATGAAAACATGCCGCAATTCTTTCATGTAGTAAATGCAAGTACATATGTCTAATACTTGAATTTTGAAAACGATAAAATATTACCAATCGATCACGCCAATATTAAATACACTAATTGTTTCACATGAAATAAGATAGAACAATGATCTTATTTAGGTACTCATCAATAAATAATGTAATTTACGTTAAGAGCTTTGTTGAGAATTATTTCCAGTTTTCCCCAAAAATTTCCTATCTCTGGTCAGTGATGAGCATTTAATTATAATTACACGGCTTGTCACTGAAATTACTGATAGCAGCACCCTTGAATGTTTTATGATCCTATCATGTTTCAAGAATGTATAGTTTAAGCTGGAAGACATATGGGGAACATTTTTAGGTGTAAACGAAAAAAATATAGATATAACTTTTTAGTGGAAAGAGATACATACAATTTTTAATAATAGTTAAAGACAAATAAAAATTGGATTACAGTAAAAAAGGTTTTTAATCACTTACAACTCACAATGAAAAAAAATTTTGTAAATTACTTTCATATTAAAGGCATATCATACCTCAGTGATTTACATTCTTTTTCTTTTTTTTCAGAAGTAGCAGAATAACGTTTAGTAATAAAAATAATTGATTCAAAGCATAATTGAAGCTTATCATTCAATCTAGTAGGAAAAGAGATGAATGAGATTTTTTTTTAAAAGTACCAAAATGATACAAGCAAAAAGTACATAAAGTTTTTAAAGTAAAATTCTAAGTTTAAAGAGGAAATATCTCTTGAAATAAGGATGCTAGAGTTATAAACCTTGTCATGCATGATGTAAGTAATGATAAAGGACAATTGTCTTAAGTCTAGAGTTGATGTCATTTATAATAACAAAGTAATTTTTGGAAATATTTGAATTTTAAATAAATCCCTAATTCAAAAATGAAATGGAGATAGTTCTAGAAATACAGGACTTGAGTTATAAATCTAATCGCACCTGATAAAGGTGTTGAAACATTTTTATGCAGTCGAAGGGAGGCATATTAAAATCGCACCGTCCCTCTGTCTGTCTGGATGTCCGTCTGTCTGTGCATCCCCACTTCTTTCATAACTTTGTCATGCATTGAATGATATTAAATAACTAGGCATTAATGTCTAACACATCAAGACGATGTGTCGCGTCCAAGAATTACGTCCCTACCTCAGAGGTCAATGTCACATTTACATTTTGAAGTTTCACTTTATCCTAATTAGAGTTTATAGTTACACTCATTCGTGTCCGGACTGTCATGCATCAAAGCATTACAAAATAACTAGGCATAAATATCTTCCACATCAAGATGACATGTCAAGACTAAGACCCCGATCCCTACCTTCAAGGTCAAGGTCATACTTATAGTTTGAAGGTTTTCATTCATTCGAGAAGAGTTTGCAGATACACATTCATGTCCGGACTGTTACTTTGTCATGCATGGGAAGATTTTATAATAACTTGGCACAAATGTCTATCGCAGCTCATTGTCGTCTGTTCGTTTGTGTGTCCCCACTTACACAACAATCATGTCCAGTATGTAACTTTGTCATGCATTGTGGGATTTTGAAATAACTTGGCACAAATGTCTATCTCATGACAACATTCTGTTGTGTCTAGGAACCACGTCCCTTCTTCAAAGGTCAGGTCACACTTATATTTGGAAGGTTCACGCTATCACAATTAGAGATTATAGGTACAATAATACAAAGAAAAATATTAAGAAATTAGTTACTTTCACCCTCTTTTCTTTTCATACTACCAGTCCTGCATGCTTAAGAAACTTTTTCGGGGGCATTCGATAATTCTGAAAATATTGATGCTAGAGTTATGAAGCTTTTCATGTTATTGTTTAAAGTTATACAATATCAATTTTTATTCAAAACAAATTTGAATGGGGGAAATAATCCTGGAAATATGTATGTTACAGTTATGAATCTTGTCACACATGATAAGGAAATATATTTGAAGTTAGAAGTTGATACCTTAAGAAATAAAAAAGAAAGTAAAAAGTAACATTTTTTGAGAGGAAAAAAAAATCATGGGGAGATAATTCTAGGAAAAATTGGTGTTAGAGTTAAAAAAATTGCCACTTTTATGTAGTTGATGATAAGGAACGCATGTTTGAAGTTTAAAGTCAATACTTTAATATGAAATGAAGATGTTAGAGTAAAATATAACATTATTTTATTTCAAGGGGATATAGTTCTGGAAATACTGGAGTTTTGCACCTTATCAAATGATGTGGATGGTGATAAGGAATATATATTTGAAATTGATACCTTAAGAAATAAAGAAGTTATTGGCGCATAAACATTAATTTAAAGTATGGACGCTAACTTCGACTTGCAAACCAAGGTAAGTAGGACAAATCACCATATTCTTAGTATAGTCGAGCTAATAATAAAAATATCACTTACCTGGTCATTTTAGTTAAGAGTCTTACACTTTGCAGTAAAAGTTACATCTATGAACAGATTTTTGTTTTTTGTTTTTGTTTTTTAGCGGGCCGGGAGGGGGGTTCAGTCAGTAACATGAGTAACAGTGACACTTAACTATTGAACTTTATTTATTATTAATTAAAAAAAAATATTTATGTTATTAGGCCGTGTCTACACCTATTCAAGTTTCTTACATGTCACATTTAGATAAGCTAAATAAATGGCCATTTCAACATTTTCCAGGCATTTTTTTACTGATATGTCTTATTAAGATAGCCCAGGATTTATACCTTTGTCTTTCCAATACTATCATTTTTTTGTAAAATATGTGAAAAAGAGCGGGAAAAATGATGTAATTAGCTAAAACAATGGAGTAAATGAAATGCGTACATTGATTTAAAAATTGAAAAAATGTGACAAAATTTATTTTGATGCAAATTCTTTATTTGATGAAAGTCATTCACCAAATGAACAAGATCATTTTAAATCCATTTTGACTCTACTTGAAAAAGAGCTCTTTTTAATTTTTTTTACAATGTATTTATTTTTATTTATTTATTTATTTATTATTTTTTGCTCCTCTGTGTATAAGCGTATTGATTTGTTTCTTTGAGCAAGACAGTGTAAACATTTACTGAAATTCAAAGGGAATGTACACTGGATCAACAACAAAAAGTCAGAAAATAATAAAAAAAAAACAGCACTATGAAACCTTTGGGCACATGTTTTGTTTCAAACTGGTGTTATCAGTGTCTTGACAGCCAACAACTTGTAGAAAAAAAAGATCGTGTTCTAATAAGGCCGCGTCTACACCTATTCAAGTTTCTTACATGTCACATTTAGATAAGCTAAATAAATGGCCCTTACAACATATAATCAGGCACAAGTTTTACTGAAATGTCTTATTAAGATTGCCCAGGATATATACCTTTGTTTTTGCAGTACTATCATGTTTCTGTATAATGTGTGAAAAAAAAGCAGGAAAATGATGCAATTAACTTAAAACAATGGAGTAAATGAAATGCGTACATTCTTTAAAAAAATGGAAAATGTTAGAACAAATACATTTTGATGCAAATTCTTTATTTGATGAAAATTATTCACTAAATGAAGAAGATCATTTAAAAT